CGCGCCGCGCCAGTCCCCACTCCTCACAGCCACCCCCTCCCTCCTTTTTGAGTGCTGATGACAAAAATCACTTCCATTCTAACACCAAGCCTATATTTTCATCCCACATGAGGTCATTTGGGTCCTAAACTTTCAAGTCGAGTTTTATATTGTTTCCTGCCGGCTTTGGTGTGCTGAACTCAAAAGTGTCCTCAAAACTTTTACCAGACTCACATTTAACCGAATTTTGATCAATTTTGGACCAAAACTTTTTAATCGAGTTTGACAGTGATCCCAACAGTTTTTGGTGTTCTGATAACGAAAATCACTTCCATTTGTACCCCTGGTCTAAATTTCACTCCATATAAGCTAACAAGATGCACATTTCGTCTACTCAAGCAAAGTCCGAAGTGCACACAGTATGTCAATTCGTATCGCTCAGCCACACTACGCGCCCACACCAAACGGCGCGAACCCCTGGTAATATAAATCCGGTTATCATTATGCCACATGGTTGTCAAACATAGGAAACTGTGTTGAGTGGGCAAACTGAAGGAGAGGGACTTGATCCTAGAAGCCACAATGGCCTCCATATTCCAGTGCAGAGCAGCCCCATTCCTCGCTGCATTTTCTTTGGATAGTCCAAGGGCTGTTGAAATTTCGAGCTTCTCCTCCAGCCCTTCCCCAAGAACCTGAAGAAGCATAAGTGGAATTAGTTTTCAGTGTGGATCCCAACACAGCTCTTGTGGATAATGTGACTTACCACCAGCAAATATTCTCGTCCTCACATCCGATAAGATCCTGTGTAGAGCCTTATCTAGTAAGCACATCTCTTACGTTAAAAGTCCTTGCGTAGAAATTTAAGCTGCCATTAAAAAGTTGATCAAAGTTTGATCCGACAGGTTTTGATCATTTATCAGTTGATTAGTCAGGATGATTATGACATTGTCATTAGACACTGCATGCACTTTTCTGTTTCTGGAAGGGATCAGCCCCCTACTGAGACTTGCCACATCATCCATACTTTCTCTCTCAAAGAGTGCAACAGTCCCTGAAAGAAATTCAAGAAGAAAATATATTATTCCATGGAATGACCAATTGGCTGAGCGATAGCGAAGCCCGTTACTCCAGTGGGGTTGAAAAGTTATGTCTGTCTGTCTGCGTGTGTGTGTGTGTGCGCACTACTCCTCCTGAACGGCTTGGCCGATTCGGCTGAGATTTTGCTGGGTCATGAGGTATAACCTTGGCTCGCCACGCACCAAAATTCAGCTTCCTCTCTCAATGCATGTGGTCATTACAGCCAAAAAACACTTAAAAAACGGCAGAAAAAGACTACTTGTCAAGCACTTTCAGCCTTTTGTCAAGAATCATGTCGTTTCCTATGTTTTTGAGGGTGCTGATGACGAAAATAGAACCCATTCGGGCCCCCGACCCACAGTTAGGTCCCATTAGTGTAGATTTTGATGGCCAAATGCTATTTTTTTTTTAGGGGATCACGCCCACCTCTACGGTCTGTCTAACAAAGCAGCCTGCCGAAGGCAGGCTTGCGCCGCAGGCTAAGGTATGCGTATACGCCAGGCGTGGATTGTCGAAACTGGCGCAGCATCGCGAAGCCTGTTACGACAAGAAACGTTCTGGCGTACGCATACCTTGTAAAACTCACTCCAATTCTTTTTGGCTGAGCGATAGCGAAGCCTGTTACTCCAGTGCGGTTGAAAAGTTTTGTCTGTCTGTCTGTGTGTCTGTCTGTCTGTGTGTGTACACTACTTCTCCTGAACGGCTCGGCCGATCTGGCTGAGATTTTGCAGGCTTATTCGGTATATTCTTGGCTTGGCACATGCGAAATTTCACGGTCCTACCTCACGTGGGTCAGTTTTTATAGCCGAAAAACACCTAAAAAACGGCGAAAAATCGAGTTTCCTGCAGGCAGATCACTTCTGTCTTGAAGAAAGAAGGGTCTGGGGGAAATAGCCCCCCAGCTTAGACATGTTGAAAAGTTACAAGGGTCAAGATCGTGTCATCTGCAGATGAAGCAACTTTATCTTGAATGAAGGGGGGGTCCAGCATGCATTAACCGACGATGGACAAGTCATTGCCTGCCGAAGGCAGGCTAGCGCCGCAGGCCAAGGTAGGTAACGCCAGGCGCGGATTGGAGGAACAGGCCGCGAGACATCGCGAAGCCTGTTACGACAAGACACGGTCTGGCGTAAACCTACCTTGTAGACATTTACAAGAATGTGGTTAACCTGTGTTTATGTGTTTCATTTGGATGCAGGAAGCCATTTATTAATGCAGATGATCTTACAAAGACAAAATGAATGGTGATTGAATAAATTAGTTGCATTGACAAAATGAAATATATTTTTACAAACTGATGTTTTGTTAAATTCCAATTATCAAATTGTTTTATGTACTCAAACAAAAACAAGACATCTATATGACAAGAGACACATCAGAATTTAATACGAGAATGATTCATAAATTAAACAGAATAATAGTAGCTCGTGAATTCACAAACATCTGGGGACAAAACACTGTCTACACCAGGGTACATCTTACATCCCTTTATCTTAACTTACTCCTTTTTGTCGACCTCACTGAAATTCCAAACGCTATGAGTATTGCACGTATGGTGCAATACAGCTGAGATATCGCACCATACGTGCAATGCCTCAGCCATATTGCACCTTACGTGCAATGCATCCCGAAAATGCCCTATGCTAATGCATGGGAATGGGGAGGCATTGCACTTCATGTGCAATGCTTTTGCATTGCACCAATTGACGCTATACTCATAGCGTTTGGATTCTCAGTGCTGCCTCTTCTCGTTCCAGAACCAAGATCACCTCTTGATGAGGACGGGGCATCAGAATTGTCAACAACCTCATCCTCCTCCTCCACCCCCTCCTTCTCAACCGGGCGACTTCTCTTGCACTTTTCTGTGTTCATGTGGTCATCAAGGTTTTTCGGACTGCCATGAACTATCCTCTTGCATTTCGGACACTCCATAGCCGGAGTTTTGTAGGTCTTGCCTGCCTTCTGCTGCTGCTGCATTTTTTCATACCTCTTCTTGGATTCCTCAACTATTTCGGCAACTGATTCAGCACCATGTGATCTTTTGGCATGGGCCGCAATGCGATCGAACGCATCGGTCCTACATCTCATCGGAGAATAACAGCAAAGTGTGCATTTGGGATACGGTGCACTATCACCAGTCACCTGCAATGGATTAGATTTAGCTTTGACAATCCCTAGTGCCATGGCTTCTACATCCAATGATCGTACAGACATCCTTCCACCGGATGTACAGAAGAGGTTGCAATGTTTTTAATTTTTAACAAGATGAAGGTTCGAATCACCAGACCAGAGTTTACAATCAGGGAGAGCAGCTCCATGGGACGCAAGGACATCACGTAGTTCGAAGTGACACCACCAGGCTTTTGTGCTACAACAGGGGGAGACCAGGAACACAAAACAATTAACATCAATCCAGTTCAAGGTAAATAGGCGAATGGGTTTCATAATAATTCCACCTTACCAATTGCACCTCTGGTGGGTAATCATACCTGGCAGAACCCATGCCTTACAAGCGAAATTTACTGCCTCATTCATGTTATAACCCACATTGAAAGCCCAATGTATTGTGTTCGGCATGAGGAAGACCACATCCCCAGGACGTTGAACAATCTGCGTTACACAAACAGAATAATTAATTCCAAAACTGAAGCAAGGGCACAAGGACTTCATAAATGAAAATAAAAACCAGTGTCAACAGTGACAGGGACACAGGACATACTTACTGTGTACACTGGGATACCGTAATTACGCAAGCCATTATAAACATATGCAATAGAGCATAGATAGTTATAGAGTCCTACAGTGGGAGAGAGACGCCACCGCCAGTGCGCGCGCACGCGGTGAGCGTTGCGCGCGACATCTCATACTACCGAAAAGACTGCCTGAATTATTTCTCCTACCGTCTTGGCGCCAGCAGCAGACAACTCAAAGAAAAGCCCAGAAAAGCGAAAACGAAGTTTATACGTGTGAGAATTTCCGAATTGCATCTAATTATCAGTGTGCTGTGGTAAATTTCATGCTTTTATCTTTAACTAATGCACTGCCTAACTAGGTTTAGTGAATGGTCTGATGAATTCACCACTTGATTCATCAAGAATGAAGAAGTCATCGCCAGGGCTGTCTGCAGTTTCTACAACTTGAGGAGTCTCGGCGAATCCAGGATTAGGAGGCTTTTTGGCCACATAAATTAGACGAGGGTTTTTTGGGATATTTGAGGTGTTGGTGATGTCCTGAAATGCTCGTCTTTTCCTCGCCTAACCGCAGAAATACGAGTTATTACAACTTCCAATACATGCTTTGCCACATCATAATCTCAAGATTCTTACCATTCCATTTTTGGTGTTCATCGCTTCCCATAAACATCAAAAACAATTGTCCGGAAATAGACAAAATTTTGGCATGTTGCTCTGCTTTCCGAGCCCTCGCCACGCTAACTAC